AACACTGTGTAATCTTACTTGAAGATTAATATGTAAAAATTACAGACAATTTTCAAACGACAAAGCCCTTTTTTCTGTGTGGGCTTGTCGAATCCCCGCGGAAAGTCCGATGGGATCTCAATTTTCGTCTCGTTAGACCTTCAAGCCGACAATTGTTAATCACACGGCGTGAGGTAATATCAAGCCTGTTGAATTATTCAACCTGCGGCGGCTCGAAACTTATCTACTTTTACTATCGCCGCGAGACTTCTCGCGTGATTCGACGCGTGGGTTTCACTCGTCGTCGACCGACATAAGGACACATTATCGCTCCCGCGTGACAGAACTCTGGACGGTGTTTTGTGTAGATGCAACTTGCGTCGCGTGTCTTCGAGAACCCGCATCTTTGGCATCGTCATACATTACGCCTGCTCGTCCGAGTCATTTCCTGTATCGCGCAACTTATTTTACGATGTCACTGTCACGAAGATACGCGTTGTCGCCTCGGATAGGCCACTTCGCTCGCTCGCATACGCGTCGACCGTTTTTATCACCGGCGGGGAAACTCGTCGAGGGAAAAGCAATTTCGCGTGGAGCTTTGACTTATCGATTGACTATTGCTGCAACGTGCATACGCTCGTGCGAGGTTGTTGCCGTCAACTTCGCCGTCGGGACCTTCAACTTGAGATGAGCCAGCGACACCCTGACAAGTACGAATAACTAGAAACCAGTTGCACGAGGAGCTGGAAAGACCGGGCGCTTTTAATTTCTATCTCGGAGAAGAATAACTTCTTGAAATTTTCTCGCGCTTAGGCTAATCTCGCGAGCTGTTCTCTCTTTGCACGCAACTTTAGCCTTCAAGCGAAAGTTCTGGTTTGAATAGTCGAAAAATAGAAAGTTTCTCCAAATTCTCTTCAAAAAAGTGAATAAAAATATCAATTTTGGTTTCGACTCTTCACCATTGTTTTAATTACAAGAAAATTATTAAAAAAGAAAAAATTGAAATTTTGTCGTCCAGGTTTTGTGCTGAGCGCGGTGTTATCGGACGACGCTTCTAACTGGTGGACATTGCACGTCGTGTAATAATCTGAAACTAATAGAATGAGAAAATTTAAAAGTATTTGCTAAAAAATGAATTTAAATCCTTTGATATATTTTTCAAAATTAATATTTTTCCCGCGGCAAAAAAGAAAGAGGAATAGAGAAGTCACTTGTGATTTTGAAGTGCCGCTATTTCGTTAAATTCCAACTTGTTGCATGCAATAAAAGTTCATTCTTCAGCAAATTTAATGCAATTCATAAATTTTCTCGTCCCATTTACTTCCAATTATTACATGAGTTATAATGTTGCTTACTAGTTAAAAGTGTCTATCGACGACATTGCGTTGAACATAAGAGAGAGAATTCCTGGGCGGAATTTTATAAAAAATAATTTATTTATATTTAAAACAATGATAAGTAGTATGGTCAAGATCCCATATTGATATATCTATTTATTTATTCGAAAAAAATCGTACAAAACTTTTCCAGCTATCTGAACCACACTGAGAGAAAAATTACCTTAAAATCAACAAATATTTCTTTGATGGATGCCATTAACATATTTATTTAAATCTAAATTCTCTTTATTTAAAGTAAATATTATTTACTTAAATCAGGTAAACAATATTTGATTTAAATAAAGAGAATTTAGATTTAAGTAAATATGTTAATGGCACCCATCAAAGAAATATTTGTTGATTTTAAGGTAATTTTTCCCTCAATACAGAAAATTTCCTCTGAATTTTTTTCCAATCTGCGCGCTCTTGATTTTCTGTAGATCCTGATTTGCAAATTCCTCTTCCCACAGTCTCCCAGTTTCAATGTCTAGGATCCCATGTTTCCTTCTCAGGCGCTTGCGTTCGTTCGTACTTTGTTCTATTCGAGAAACACAAATCATTCGGTCGTTATTAAAAGTAACAAAATACAAATATCAAGGATGTTGGAATATCCGCCGATGAAATTCTGCGGCTGATCGTGTATCCGACGTGAGGCTCCATGTGAGGCTACAGCGAGGCGCTGCATCGCCGAATGTCAATAACGCAATCAGCAACATCCGCGAACCGCTACCGATGCAGCATCTCCCCGGCTCATCTCGCGTTCTCGCGGCAGCGTTGACCCTGCAGCGCGCCGCGGATTCAACTATAAATTACACACCACTTTACCTTGGATAAGATTGGTCGTGTTTCTCTCCGCGTTGCGCACGCGGCAACTTACTTCACGTTTCTTCAATATCTGTCGCGAAACTTTCCCATGAAAGCCAACGCGTCCTACCGCAAAGGTTACTCACTCGCGAGTAGTACTGTACGCGCGATTTTGCTTCTTCATGTGATCCTCATAACGCACACACTTCGTCACAGACTACCCCACTTGTGACCTATCAGATTGTATACATTGTGCAATTGTGTATTATATACAGCGTGTCGGAGGATAGATGGAAAAACATGCAAACCGTATTAGGTCAAATCGAACACAACATTCTTCTATCATCTTGCAAATCGCGTAGATTTTGGAGTTCTTAATTTCTCGCAGATAAGAACCAAACAATAATGACGGTGAAAGACCTACCTTGTTTCTTATATGAGACGCAAGAGTTTCAATGTGACATTGCCATTCCATCCACGTAGATTTTCGAGTTAGTAATTGAGGGTGTTTTGCTCATATAATAATTTTTAGAAAATTTTGAGAAATTACAGATTAATCTACATTAGTAAAAAAAAAAAATTAGCGAATAATTGCGCGCAACTATTGTTTGTCAATCTTTTTTAAGAATTCATCGCTCGTATAATCCTCGTAAAAATTAATTGAAAACCGAAAGTACGCTAATATTTATATTTTTCGCGTAAAAACGTATACACGAAGTTGAATAGTAACATATTTTAATGTCACATTCTTATAAGTTTATTTACTTTATTTTATACTATTTCTGTCTTTTAAACTTTTATTTCTGAATTCATAGTTTTAAATATTTAAGGTACATATGTATACAAAAATTGAAACTTTTGTCACTATTTTTTTCTTAATTATCTTCTTTTATTATAAAGATAGCAATATCATACATTTACATAATAACACGATTAAAAATATTCTCAAGTAGCAGGATGACGTTAAATGATATATCAATGGCTTACATTAACGTTAAAGATATAATTAATACGTTATTGAAACGTCATTTCATGTCATCGTATTTGTTGGACAAAGTGTAACTCTTGATCCAGAATCTGAGTCAGTGTAAAATGGTTTGTGATCATTTTTTTACTAATGTAGATTAATCTGTAATTTCTCAAAATTTTCTAAAAATTATTATATGAGCAAAACACCCTCAATTACTAACTCGAAAATCTACGTGGATATTTGCAAACTGCTAGAGGACGTTTTTGTTCAATTTGACCTCGTGTACAACGAAAATCGTACTTACCCAGTTAAAAATCGTACTTACCGTTATACCCAATACCGCGTCGCGCACAATTCTTCGACAATCCTCTTCAATTAATAACTCAAAGTTTTAGACGGTTGTCCGCAAAGCGATGGAGAAATTTTGTATTCACTCAGACCCAATCTACGTGTACACAAGCAAGTTTTTCCACTTATCGTCAGACACCCTGTATACAATCGGCATGTTTACGAGTCCGGAATCTAGATCGAAAGTTACGAAAACGTATATCGATCTCCGTTAGGATACCGTTCCGAAAGATACCGTTTCGATATCGCGTTTCTCGCACACCATCGTATAATAGCGAAACGAATGATAGAGCCAAAAGAAATCGTCTCGGTGAAGAGGTAAAATTCCTACTTTTATATCTTAATAACTTTTTATGAAATTTTATTAATGTGCTTCTTTCTCTCTTCCTCTCTCTTTCGGCGCAAATAAGACGTCGAGCTTTCCGTAAGAGTCAAAAAGAGACGTACAAAAACACATTGACGCACATTGTAGAAGGGCGTGTTGTTGTCGGCGAGCAAGACCGGAGGTGCGTAACATTTCGCGATTTACGACAGGCCGCAATTTAATTCTTACCATTTATTAGCGGTGACTGACCTTCCGCGAAACGTTGCGTTCTGCGAATAAAGCCATCCGCCAGCGAGCTCTCGATCTATGTATCCGCCTCACATCCCGTCGCGCGACGGGAGAAATATTCGCACTTTCATAACGGCCGGCTCGTCGCCGGCACTCGGCTCGTTCGAGTGAGAAACGAAGCGAACAACGACGGCGATGTAAGAAGGCGGCGGTTTTATTGTAGAGAAAACAAAAGTGTTACCCGGCGAATCGTACAAAAAGCAAATCGCGGCGTGAAAGCAAGCAAACCGCGCGCTCGCCGAACGGCGGGCGATCGCGTCGCGCTGTGAGATAAGTAGAACAATCACACATAATCATATGCAATCTATCAGAGAAAGTGGGCTAATATCGGCCGTTGGAGTGATACCCGACACCTTTGTTTCTCGCGAGATCCAAAGTCGCGATTTGATGGGGAAGCGCGAACGCACGCGGACAGCATGCACGCTTACACGAGAGAGCCCACTTCGCGGGCCTTGCTTGGCTTACTTCGCGGAAGCAATAAAGAATTTTAGCGTTTCTTTTGTACGCGCACATTTAACCTTTACGTTCTGGTTGGCGTGCGCACTGTGTGTCGGTTAATGTTCGCGGGATATTGGCTCTAAGCTGCGCTTACTTTCTTCTGACTCGATCTTGCCCGGCGAACTCGCGCTGGCCTTCGCTATATTATTAATCACCATTAGCGTCGTCGGTGCAGCTAGATTCCTGTGTCTGAATGTTGAGGCGCTTTGCATATTTCGTCACGTATGTGGGTAATTCTGACAGCTGTGTGCATATATCTGCATTCAGATACATCATCCGCGAACGAGGAGTGTCGAGAACGATCAGGAGAGATGCGTGAATGAGCTGAACTTTTATATTCTTCAGCATTGCTTTCTTTTCCTGTGGATACATGGGCCGTAACAGATGCGCGACGAATATTTCGTTCCAGGTACTCCAACGAGACATAGAGGCGCACGGTCGTATCGTCAGCTCAGTTGTGAAATTAGGCGACAAGGTTTTCACGCAGCAACAACAACAGCAGCAGCAGCGGGAACAGCAACAGGAACAACGTCAAGAGCAGCAACAGCACTCTTCGCAGTCTCCTTTACGGACGGTGAGATCGTTGGAACGGCGTTGGCATCTTCTATTTCTACGAGCTTTGGAATGGCAATGTCACATTGAAACTCTTGCGTCTCATATAAGAAACAAGGTAGGTCTTTCACCGTCATTATTGTTTGGTTCTTATCTGCGAGAAATCTTCTCACACAATAGTTTCGCGATAGCTTTGTATTGATGATTAAATAATGTATCTGAAGGAATACACTGTAGGAAAAAGTACCTAAGAAATACAAGACATTTATTCGATAGGTAGCAACATATTTATTTATATTAATATAAAATATTTTTCAAGAAAATAGTATAAGAAAATATATATAATAATAGAAATATATATGCATAATAAATATACATAATAAGAGAAATATATATGCATAGGAAAAAAATAATATAAGAAAATATTTTCATAAAGTATCGTAGTTTCTCACTTTCACATGAAAGCAATTGTGTTGTGTGTTCGTTCTATTTAAATAAAAGAAGTTAGATCCAAGTAAATATATCATTAGTATCTACGGGGATAAAAAATAAATAAATATTTTTCAGATATTTTATCTCAGTGTACGAGCGAAAGAACGTCAAATCTTTCTCAAGATTCTCTTTCAATCATTCCGCACCCGCGCGCAAAGGAATCTCCACGATATTGCTACACGGAGAGAATATTATAGAACATACTATACATATATAAACGCTCTTGTAAATACTATCTAAAGAAAGGAGGAACTAGCAGCTAATGAGAGCCTATTCGCGAATATTTTTGTACAAAATAATGATTAGATGAGGATGTAGAATTTGTGAACGTGTACTTCAAACTACACTTTCTAACTCTATATCTTCGCGTGATTCAATAATTATTTCACACGAAACATCCGCAAATTGGCCGCTAGTTAGAATATTATGATTTTTTATCATATGAATTCTTCTCTCAATCTTACTATTTTTCTAGTAGTGCAGGAATAGAGTCAGTAAGGTCTATCTTTCTAAGGAAATTTCGCTAAAAACAAATTTTTTAATAGCATATTTCAGATTCTAAAATACAAACAACACATATGAAATGAAAGGATAATAAATTATTGCAGAGTACTGATTTGTTTCTCGCGCTATTGCAAAATTCTATATCAATTTTTTTTATGAAATTCTCTCCGTGTATAATCTCGAATTTAAGTGATCTAACAAAAGCGCATCGTCAAAAGTGTGCCAACGAGCTGTCCAAAGCGTAGAAGGGCGACTCCACTGGGGTCCTCCTTTCGTACTTAAATGGATAATTTCACTGCACCGTTGTATATACTGTCCCGTTAAGACATAGATTATTGCTCTCGCCCTGTCGAAGTACCGCTTTGAATATTTGCCGGCATTTTGTTCCGTGAGTGTTGGTCCCGCTATGCTGGTCGTAATAATTAAAGCCAAACTAGTGGGAAACTGCGTCCGACAACGTCTGATCGATGAGGATGAACGAACGGGCGATGTCAAGAGATTGAGGGTGGGCAAGCTGTAATCTGCTAGTAGATACAATTGATGGAGCTGCTCCGCAATTGATCGCTATTGAGAGTAGCATATTGAGCAGTGCGATTACGCCTTATTCGCTGCTTGGACGGAAGGAAAGCCTTCAAACAGCATGGCTGTATTTTAAAGACATTTCGCTACGTAATCCATTTCGCGTGAATTTATATCCTCGCCATTAAATAGAAAGTCAATGGCCTGCGCATTGAGAAGTAAAATGTGAGAAAAGATTATTCATATCTCACGATTAAAACTTCACGCAAAAAATACGTTCAAATAAATGTTACTTGTTTCAAATATTTCATAAGTCTATGTATCCACTAATCTATCATAAGTTTGTCGTAAATATGAAATTTGCTTGAGATACATTCTGAATCCTAACAAGTCTTTAAGAATTTTAAATTAATATAAAACAAAAATTCGGCTTATTGAATACAGTCGACCCGACTTTACCTTCGATAAAGTTTTATAATATTCTTGAAAGAAAATAGATTCGACAAAGTTTTATAATATTCTTGAAAGAAAGTAGATTTTTCTTTTGAGTATATGATAATGATTGTTTTCCTAAAATTCGCGATGAGTATACTTGTGATCAAACAAATATTTTTTATTGAACATAACCATAATTTAAAAAGAGTGTAAAGCTTTTCTTAGTGTTAGGATGATACTTGTCTGTGTGTTGGAATGGAGATTTTAACGCGATCGATAAAGTTCGTAAAGTCTGTGGTTTGTAAGCAATTTTGTAAGCAATTCGTGACACAGCTTACGGGGCACGACTTGGTTATATTTAAAATAGATCACGTATTTATATAAATTAGCAGTGTGTTTGTTGACAATGTTGACAAATTTCGCAATGTATATAACAACAGCACGCACATATCAGTCTGTGTGTGGGGAAAATGAATTCGACGGACACACCGATGTACCTTTTCTTTACCTACCGTGAACCTTGTCCCCACCTTGTCCTTACCTTTTTCCTGTTTGTTCCCCCCAGAAAGGCTTTGTTCTACGAGGTCTGCCTCGTGTGCCTCCTGTTGTCGAGGATAGGTGAAACTGTCCTATCTACCAATCACCAATTCCGACCTCGTCGTGTGTGTGACGCAGCGCGCTGATAGTGAGTGATAAGTTTATTAATACAAGATAAGTGACTTTTTCAGTCGTTCGGTGTTTTGGCGCGTTAGTGAGATCCGAGAAGATGCCGCGAATAATATTGCGAATTCGTCCTACGGATCGGTCACGTTGCCGTCGATCTCTCGCTCAGCTAAGGAGACTACCCGGTCTAATTTGATGTTTCAGAACGTCGTGCCTTACCGCAGCAGCAGCGACAGCGACGAGGAACCAGTCACGAAACAGCCTCGTCTCAGCCGCGGACGATCGCGCGGTTCTGGAACGGAATCCCCGCCGAGTCAGTCCGCTCGCTCGACGCGCAGCGAACGCGCGAAGCGCGTTGGACGCTCGCGATCCGAGTATTGGGACCGTCCGGTCTCCGCGAGGACCGCCGATCTTTCCGACAGCGAGGTTTCTTCCGAGAACCGATCCGTCGGCGAAGGATCGTACTTCGAGGTACGTAAAATCACGAGCGATTTCTTTGGCTAGACGCCGAGCGCCGTTTTTAATTCGACCGCGGCTTCACAATGCGAGTCCGCCTCCTGGAAACGTTCCATGAAATCCATTATCGTCGCGATCCGAACGTTCCTTATTATCGAAGCGCTGTCGTGACCGCAACGAATGGCGTAACGTAACGGATAGCGGAGAATTGTGTCGTTAAAGGGACGATTATTAAGTCGGAAAAACGAGGAGTAACAAGGATTTTATGCGGCGAACGAATCACGCGATCGAGACGGGATGCATATTTATTTCATGGTCGCATGTAGAATTACACGAGAAAGACTAAAAGACTGCCTCAGAGAGAGAGAGAGAAAGAGATAAAGAAAGAGGAGGAGGGAGAGAGAGAAGAGAGTTTCTTTTGTCCCAATATATAAATTGAATTTAGATTAGGTAAATGATATCTCATGTTTAGATTCGGAAGTTAAATTTATGATACAATAAATTGTATGTAATAACTATATATTAATGTGTTACATTTATAATATATAGTCACATTAATATATATTAATATGTTACACAACACTAAAAGATTACCTCAAAAAGAGAGAAGAGTTCTTTTACCAATGTATGAGTAGAATTGAAATTAAATAACGATACCTAGTATGCTTAGATTCAGAAGTTAAACTTACAATATAATAAATTGCATATATTGTAATTATATTATAATATGTGACATAACATTAAAAGATTGCCTCAGAGAGAAAAGAAAGTTCTTTTTGTTAATGCATAAATAAAATTTAAATTAAGTAATAATAATACTTAACATATCTTTAATAATAATGAAGATTCTGAATAATGTTGATCTAGTATATTTAGCTTCAGAAATAAAATTTATAATGCAATAGTGTAATTACATGTCAATATGTGACATAACACACATCATATATTTAGCTGTTACGGTGAAATAAAAAGATATTAAAATTTTCGCGACTCTTCGTGCGAAGCGCGACGTGTAGAAATCCGGAGACGTTCACTTCTCCATGTTTTACCGAAAATTGCCAAAGAGAGGAAACGGCTCGCAGTTGTTCCACGAATCGGCAGCTGCTATTGTTCTCCATACTGTCGCGAAACGACTATTACGAGTCATTGACCCGGTTTTCGAGCGCTGCACGATTCATGCGTAGAGAAATATTAACTGCTCCCTGCGCGAGCACAGCGCAGACGTTCTTTCGATGCGGACGATAATGGGCGGACTTTATCCCAATTAATTATTATCACGTTATGTATTATTTAAGATAAATTTTCGGTCAATCGGGACCGTTCGACGACGCACGTCCGATCGACGAGTGCGCAGGAGTACGCAAATTGCGCTTCCTTTTCCCAAATCTCGCAATCGCGCGAGTTAAACTAGCTCGTCGCGTAGCGACAACGGCAGATAAAGCTTGTTACTACCATTTCACATTGCGTAGGCTGGAGTGGAGCGCGTATCCGAATGTGTTAAGTGGAGGTAAAGTCTCGCCTAAGAGGACGCGACGGACGACTTCTGTAAAACGGATCAGGCACGCATATACAGTAAGAAGATCTGTGATCTTGACAAAAAATAACGGTCGCCTTTGTAACAAAAACTGCGGTATTCGTGTCGGGCGGAGACGTTGCGAAAGACTTTCGAAACTGGTACCTCTTGAAATCGTAGGTATCGATGCACGCTCAAGCTGGCTAGATCTTTCACTTTAACACGCCATACGTCGGGTATATATTACAGCCTGTAACACACACACGCACACACACGGAGAAGAAAATTTGTTCGGCTCAACCAAGTGTCTGGTGAAATATGAACTAGAATTCCGTTCAAGTTAACAAGATTCTGATTGGTTGGGGATCTTGTCAACTTGTCGAACAGAATTCTGGCTCCACTTAAGCTGTGGAATTCTGTTTCGCGCAAAATTTCACTGGTAAATTTCGGTTAGTTCAACCAAACTTTTTTTTTCCGTGCGCAACATTTGAATTTACAACGCAGAGATAACTTCTCTTATTGTCGACTTGCCGACGGTGCCGCGCGCGCGAATATAACCAGCAGTAGAATCAAGCAGCTTCTTAGTATTACGCGCTGCCGATAATTAATCGCTTTATCGCGCAAGAGTTTCTGAGTAATCGAATCAGCATGAAGATATAATAGATGCAGAGAACGGTGCCTATCATTGGTAATGATATTGTTTGTTGATGCCCGCGGATCAATGTAGGATGAACTACGCGAGCTGTATGTGATGGACACAAGGTCCGACGAACTGGAGAAACGAGAAGCCACGAGTTTTGTCGCGTCTATTCTGGAGGATCGCGGAGAGGAAGGTGACGTCGAGGAAAGTGGAGTCAGCGACAACGAGCAACACGACATGCCACCCACACCGGACACCGTGCCGATAACGACATCGACGGCGATGCAAGAGACGCGCGACGAGATCGACGCGGCCGGCGCCGTGCAAATCGAGAGCGCCGAAAAATCGAGCAACAGTCTCCGGACGAGCGAGTTTACGAAACGTCGCGGGACAACCGACGAGGTCGCTTCATTCAACACGTGAGTCACGTTTTTCCTCCTCTTTTCACCACGTGAAAACTTTCGTTGCAAGCTCGCAATTTCAAACGACAGAGTTGTAAAATTGCACACTGAACACACACATACATATTTACGTTCCAAATATACAAAGTAAAAGTACCAATGCCTAATAAATGTATCTAATTCTGGACATTTTTATTGTTTTGGTCTTAAACTATAAATATTTAAACTTTCCACATGAAATATACATGTACAAGTATGGAATATATACGTGTATTCTATGTTAAAAATGTAAATATTCATATTTAAAGACCAAAATAATAAGAATATTCAAGATTAGGTATGTCTAGGAATTGGTACTTTTATCTGAAATAAAAATAAACTAGTCGCTCGTTATTTCGCGCATTAATCTTCGCCGGAATTGCGACGCTCTCGCGTCTCGAACACACGAAAATGTCGACAGCGTCCGATATCGTATTGTTTCCTTGTGCTTAGGTCCGACAGAAAGTCGAAGAACTGTGCCACCTTTTACTTCAAGCACCTCGACACCGACTCCGAGGCGGACGGTGTTCAGCCGATGCAGGAATCGCCCAACGCGGTGGACGACTCCTCCGAGGAGGAGTGGACCTACACCTCCTCCCGTCAAAATAATTCCGTCGTTTTGGAGCAACGAAAAACGAACGTTGTGGTCCGTCTGGATTTCGACGAGAGCCCGCGCGTCGACGTGTCGGGGAACATACATTTTGCGCAGCAGGCGAGCGTAAGCGGTGAGAAAGAGATGGCCGCGGGACAGGCCCACGACTGCGACGCTCAGCAGAAAGATAGCGATGACGAAAGGAAGAACGATAAATCGAGAATTCAGAGGCTGATCAAGGAGGTGGAAAACTTGATCGGCGAAGAGAGGCATGGTGGTACCCCGCGCATCTTCCCGCCGTTAGTATTCGAAGAGAAGGACATAACGAATAATCATCGAGTTAAATATGCCCGCGTGAAGGAATGGTTGAAGCTGAATGCGGCAAGGGGCCATGAGGGCAGGTCACAGGTAAGCTAAACACACCGAGATGGATCAAATTTTTTCTCAGATGAATCGAGCATTGAAATCGGCATAAACATCCTGCATGTGCAGATATACTTTGTATATTACTGTTGGATTCTATTAGATAAATGTTTTGCTACTAGGGTGGGGGGAGGGGAAAGATTACGAGTTGACTTTATGTTTTTGAAATTACACATCGATGCGATTTTACCTCAAAATATGCGTGAGAACTTGCAGTGCCAGATAATGGCACGTTATGCATATATAATTCGCATATGTATATATTACAGCCATTAGATAGCTGTGATGCCAGCGGTGAATACACAACGGAAGAATCCGATGGAGAGAGACAGTCGATATCGTCGGAGGATTTGCAGAGCAGTGTTGCGACTTATCGTCGATTCGAAGGCGCTGTCACTCATGTGTCGCCGTCCATGTCGCAAGAAATATTCGATTTCATCGAGAAAACGCCTGTCAATGAGGCGCCTCCCCCCAGCGCAATATTAGAAACGAATACACCGAAGGTCATAATGCGCTCTAAACAAAAGGCGAAAGGATCTCGACCGTGGAGCGTGTCTTGTATTTCTCAGATTGGGGATAAGCCTAATTTGGCTCAAATCAATGATCCCATTTCGCAGTTTTCTATATCTGAGACTGCGCTTCATCAGTTGGTCGCAACTCCGCCCACGAAATCCGTATCCTTGGATGCTGCGTGAGTAATCTTTTAATAATTCTCTTATCCCTTCTTTTTTTTTATATTCATTATTTTTCCAACAAGATGATAGAATGCGTTTATATTGCAGAGGATCACGGAAATCGTTTAACAATTCGACATCCACTTTGTTAGAGGAGTCTATTATTTGTTCTGATGCTCGCGTAGTTAGAAATATTTCGTTCCGCAGAAAGAAGAATAGGTTACGAAAGAAAACCTTGGTAAGGAAGACAATGCGTTTTACTATTAGCACATTTGGATTACGTTCGTTGAATATATTTTCTACTTTGTGCTTCGAACTGTTCAGCGGGTCGAGCTATGTGAAGTCGAGTGTAACATAATATGATTCATCTATTTAGGGCCGTAAGAGCGAATCTAGTTCAGAAAGCGCGCATACCAATCACCATTCGGCGGGGAGCGATGGTAGCACGAATCAACAACGCTCATCTCGCAAAGTGAATCTAAATCGCACGATACACGCGGTTTCGAAAGACTGCCACGATCGTTCCACGACTCTCGTCAAATCGGGATCTTTCTCAGGATGTACCGTTCATCAACAGTTATATGTAGAGAAGGCACTCGCCAATAATCCTACTCCATTTAGGCTACTCTGTTGCAAGTCGGTTGCTTCCACGTCAGAGACCGAAGGCGAAGATCGTAACAATTGTGTCCAAGGACATTTCACTTACGATAATAATCTGTTGAGTAGCGTGCTAAACAAGGAACTAAGCAATCAGCAGTTGAACATGGACAGTGACATGGAGATGAACAGTCTTGGCAACAATTCCTTCTCCGAGCAGGCCTGGGATAATTATCAGGTGAGACAAAGTTGTATAGCTGTTTTTTTAATAATATTGTGTGCGAAACATTGTTTGTATTGGCCAATCTGACGATTCGCAGGAGAAATATATGAGCGAGACTTACAGCGAGGCGCCGGACGTAGAGACCGCTCGACGATTGTTGGATTTTGGAGATGATTATCGAAATTTCCTCGACAGTCAGTCGGATTGCGCATCCAGTATGAGCGCAATTCCTGCCAGTTCACCACTGCCTAAAATTCGCACATATCATGTACGTCCCTTATTGTTTTTCTTTTTGGATCAGGTATCCGTATTTTTTCTATAGAAAAGCTGACATCACAAGCAGAACGAATATGTATATAAACAATTGAATTAACCGAATATTAATGTATCTTTATGTAACCGAATTGTTAATGTCGGTTGTTGTGCCATGCTTTATAATGTTCCTCAATGCAATACATATTCATACATGAAGTATTACTGCTTTAGATTATAGTCATGACAAATAAACTTTTCAAGCAGTATAGAGGTGTTTTATTATTTTCAAGTAATAGATAAACGTTAGTCATGTAGTGTTGCATGTTTAAAGAGAATCTGGAAAATTAACGTTACGCGTGATAGCGAACATATTCAGCTATATACATTGTAGAATATAAATATATCATGTAGTGAGCTTTAAAAAAAGAAGATATCGATAAATATTGTATTATCGGTAAATAATAAAAAAGTCAAGCTTCTTGATGCCGATAAATAAAATGTTTATGCAATATAAATATTAAAACGCAAATTCTAAAGCATTCATGTCTGAAATATTCGTGTATTGTGTCTATGTGAGATTTTCATGGAATTCTAAGTAATCGCCATATGTTGTGTAACGCCAGCCTACACACGATAGTCACGCAACTTAATTGTGTTCTAGGAAATTGGCGATAGCACAGAAGATAGCGATAGTGACGAGGAAGATATACGAAATGTCACAGAAAATTCACAATCGCAGCTTGTACTCGCTGAAAATTGTTTCGTTAGATCCAATGGCGTGATCCCTACAGAATTCGTACGTATCCTGTTAAACTTACAGTATATGGTGCTTGCCGAACACAGTTTTCTGTTCATAAAATGTTACAGATACATTAAAAAGCGTTTTTTGCTTTACTCAACACGCATTTTGAGATTAATAATTCTATTAAGTTGGCACGTTATACTGCACATTAAATATAGTTGAAATATTGTGCATGAAATGTAGTTTATTTAATTTAACATAAGTTTGCGTTATGATATGTCGACTTTTTTATATTACTAGCAGCCACTTATAATATCCTATTGGATGAGACTGCATAGATATATATATATATATATATATATATATATATACATATACGTAAACTACTTTTCTTTATGATTAATTGTAATTAGTGACGTAAGATTACTGTGATCTTTATTTAATTATTCTTATGGCATAAATAATTGCATGTCTGCTATAAAATATGTAAATCCAATAATCTGAATCATAAAGACTTAAAAGATCTAGAGCATGTGACAATAAAATAAAATTTATATGTGTTTCTACATATTGATTCGTTATTTTATATATTAAGGTTCTAGATGTTCTTCTCTTGCCGTGATTACATTATAACTTAACATTTTCACAAATAGATTACCATATTACTCAAATATGAGTAATAACTTTATTATACAGATGTATTACGCTAGCAATCATATAATTATTGTTACTCATTATTATAGCATAACCTGCAATTAATTTCATATATATTTATAAATCTATAATCAATTTATATTTCTAGTTGAGTAGAGAGAAAGCGAAATAATAGTAAAGACAATAGTCAAAGTTAATACCGCTTATATGTTACGTTTCTTCTATTGCTTTGCTATTCGCAGAATACTAATTGCGTTGTAACTCGTGCGCTAACATCTTTTTTTATTAATTATTACGAGTTGCTGCATTGTGTCTCTACCCTTCCTCTCTGTCTTACTTCTCTAAGTACGCTAATATACACCACTGATTAGCGTTACAATTGTATAGACATATTAGTTAATCAATTTGCCTTTCTATCTCTAATAGGCTGAAGTGGAGTCCGCGTGTAAAGAAAACTTAGGGTGTTTGCAGGCTGTGTTGGAATCGCAGAATGGATACTTTCGAAATGAAAAATATTTGAAGCAAGTTCGCGGTGAGTACCAGCAATCAATGAATATCAGATCGCTCCTCTATATAATTGCTGCTTTGTATATTGGTATTCAAGCGGTATTCTTATTTATCTCTTGACGGCATGTGGTGAAAGATGATATCTTTCGGAGGAACATTTTTATGTTTTATGTTTCTAAAAATTAATTTCTACATGTATATTTCTATATATTTTTTAATATACGCTTATGGCTGAAGAATAAGCTGTAATGTAAATTGCATTTATACCGTAGTAGTATTCGCTTTTATCTTAAATTATCGGTACAATCGTGGTTATTTTCGTTGGATAAGCAAACAGATAACAGTACTTTGAGTGTTCGCTTTTTTTGTACAAACATCTCGCAGCTTTACCTTACAAATCTGCTAAAGAAAGTAACGACGTCCTTCAGTATTGCTGCGCCGAAATTAGTCGTAATTTATGTCGTTGCGAAACTGTCGCTCTAATTTGATCGGTTTAACGTTCACGATGAAGAGCCCAATTTTACGTATGCAGAGGAATGCACATTCGATTTTATAATTTGACTAATTATATTCACTTATACGCCTGTCTTATTTTATTTATGTTAAAGAATTATCTTTATGTATATTTTTCATGTTACATTCGCTTAATGGCATGTATTATAAAATTTATACTGAATTTATATTTTTCTACATTATTTTCACATCTTGCGGCCTGTACACGGCGATTGTAAAATATTAATCAATAAAATATTGCGGCATTTGCGGCTGTACTATAATCATACTTACACGAATAACTTATTTTTCTAGTTGTAATATCTCTATAAACCGCATAAAAATTGCGCGAACACGTCAAGAAAGTAGAGAAGAAAAGAAAGTAGGTGAGCGTATGAGAAAGAAATATTATCAGAAACGGAATAGAAAGCGAGGGATATCGTTATTCTTTAGAAAACATCGTACGCGCGACGTATATAATGCGATGTATATAAAAATTATGTAACATTCGTGTCATTCATAAAATAGACATTTGTGGTATTATCCACAAAGGTAACAGATGCGATTGTATTATATTTAAAATAGCTTGTTCAACGCAATCACACGTGCACATGACACAACGTTTCCGCAGTTACACTCGGATTGACGTTAGAAACGATGCAATTTACTTTCTAGCCGACAAGTTCGAATAAGCGCATCCGAGCGTGTAGGAGAAAGTAGAAAATGATAATATCCGCAGTCCTAATGACCACAGCGTATCGCGAATTGTTTCGCACCATTGTCTATCGTAGATATTACGATATTAAGTATCCAATTATTCATTAATTCGATGTATCCTTTCGACTATCTCCTCATTCACGTTTAGGCTAGTCTCGAATATAATTAACGTCTAATCTAATTAACGATAAATTCGTTTTGTACACGATAAAGGCGCTCATATATGTGCAATTAAACAGCAGATAAGAGCCTGGTCTTATCACAGATGTCGATCTGCACGATGCGTATGTGCCGGTAATAGAATACCAAAACCCAACGCTTCTAAACGCACAAGTTTAGAACAAACAATTGGCTGTAGTTACGCAAGAATAATCCAACCCACAAAATTATGATTATTTTTTGTTAATAACAGATAGTCTATACGTCTATCTACTTAAAAAAATTTAAGCCTTATAGGCACCTAAAATTGATTAAAAAGCAGTTTTTATTTTCTACATTTATATTATTTTTACTAATTGTATCTAATCTTTCTTACCCATTTTTTTTAAAGATTAAGCTTGTCAATGAATACAATTGAAGAGGAAAAAATTTATCATGTTTTACTTCTTGAACAATTGTGAAGAATCTTAGTGCTTATATTTACTTTATATTTTCTGAATCATGTATCAAATTTTCATCTTTATTTTTCTTGAAATATATTCCATATGATTATTTTTGCATAACGACGGCCAATTATATCTTTACAAAATTATACAAGTATAAATAATGATTCAACTAAAAAATTATATCATAAAAGTACATCATATGTTTCGACTAAAAGGTTCAAATCTGAATTTCAATCTAAATGTCTCACGTGAAACAAGTTTCAAATAATGACTTTTAAAGTCCAATTTTCAGACATGTATTTAGACACTCTTATTGTTTTGCTCTTTAAATACGGATATTAAAACTTTCAATATAGAATATACATGTATAATGTACAGTATATAATATACATTCTATACATGTGTTTTTTATGTTGAAAATTTAAATATTCACATTTAAAAACGAAAACAAATAAGAATGTCCAGGATTAAATACAGCGGATCGCAAGACGATTTAAGGTTATTCTGCATTAGTTGCAAGTTGATTGCAACTCTTGTTGCGACAGCCAGTCAGAAGCGTCAATAGCACAATCGATGCTTCTGATTGGCTGTCGCAATAAGAATTGCGTCTGCTTGCGATCGGCTTGCAACTAATGTAGAACGACCTTTATAGACATAATGAAAAGTTGAGAGTTCACTAAACTTTCAAAATTAAAACTCATTAGTAACAAACTTTCGCAATAGTAACACCATTAATAATATAATTAAGAACACTAAATAAGTAATAATAATAATTATATAACGTTTGGGCAAATCGATGTCTTTTAATTCTTCTCAATTTTGACAGTTTGGTGAGCTCTCAACTTCATTGTGTCTAAATCGTTTTGCAATCCCCATTGTGTGTCCGGGCATTTTCATCTTAATGTGGGCCCGAGATGTTGATGCTTGAAAGTTGTTTCTATAAACTCTACAGCCATACCTTCGACTGCATGTGCATGTTGGAAGCTGAGGTACACGCGTAGGTGGACACGCACGCTTTGAATATAACGATCCGCGACCCGAGAATCGCGCCTTATATGAACTATCGCCACGGTGTTTGGGAACCACGGGTGGCGGTGACGTTCGCGCTACCGCGGGCGCGTTGGCGCGAGAAACGCCGCCCGCTGATTGGCCCGCTCGTTCGTATTGCCGCGATCTAGCCGTCACGTGACGCTGCTCGCCGCTGCGAATGCGAGCGTTCGCGCATCGCCAGTGTTTCAACGGGCACGGGCGCCAACGGACGTTAGTCTCTCGCTTGTCGATCGCGTTTTGTCCGTGATTACGTCGATCTCGCGAAAGATACCGGACGGATCCGGTGCCTCCGCTCGTCCACTCACGTCGAGATTCTTACTCCAACGACGCGACTCGCTCTGATGCTCGCACGAAGGGAAAAGATCGTCGGTGGGAAAGGTTCGCGTACGTATGCCATTGTCGTTACGCTATGTGCTATTTTGTTACTGCGCGATTAGCGCGAATGACCGTGTCCGTGCCGAGAACCGTCGATTGGCCTCTGAAAAAAAACGTTTATTCGCCGAGTGGTCGACATGATCGACGAGCCGTGTAGTTGGCAAAACTATCTTCTTGAATTTCACCGATCGCCATGTTGTTCGAATGAAAGATAAGAACGTTACACGGACAAGTCGGATCTTTGTGAGAAAGCCTTTCCGTACTATTTCGCACGGGAACTGTTTTGTGTTTGCGTCGCTGTTGCATATTGTTGAACGATGTGTGTATGTTGTGCTGTTGGCGATACGCAGCATCCAATATTCCGGCAAGATGCTCGTTCGAAATCGTCGGCCGTTTCCACTAGAGTGTAAATGATTGTCGCGAGCAGTTCTACGCAAAAGCTGTTTTTCGTTTTTCCATTAACGTGTGTCCTTGATACTTACGACGCGGACGTTTTAATGCAGTAACATGATACTGCTGGCGACGTTAAGCAGGAAACAAACGAAATTCCGTCATGCACGTTTACGAACGAGCTCATACCTAAATCTGTCGTGAAGGACTACACGCGGAGAGAATTTTATCGCGAAAATTACCGTAGAATTTTATAATTGAGAAATAGATCGACATTTTCCGCAGTAATTTACTGATCCTTTCACGTGTATTATATGTTTTAAGAATTGAAATATGTCGTTAAAAAAATTGCTATATTTCTAGCGAAATTTACTATGTTCTTCAGTTAGATAAATCTTGTTGACAGTCCCTATTCCTGAACTACCAGAAGCATAGTAAAATCGAGAAGAATTTATATGAAAAAAATCTATAATAATCTCTGTTAGTTTGATATTTTTAAATGTCGTCGACGCGATTCGAACATGATTCAAGTAAATGTTAAAATTGCGCATGCAATTACAGTTTAGTTCGTTTTGGACGCTTTCTCATGCTAAGAGCACCGATCCATCTTTCTTGCGATTGCATGTGAGGAGCGATAAAGATAGAATGACACTTCCAGCACGTTCAAAACGAACTTTGCCTTTCAAAAAATTTCACATTCAAAATATTTCAAATTTTGTGTCTTTATTTTTTTATCTTCAGTTAGTGTATTGTGTCGTACGACGGAAGAGCTAAAAAGGCGAACACAGTTACTTCGACCATCACCTTTTCGGAGCATCACGTTATTGTCGCGCGCGAATGATAATGATACATCATATTTCGCGCGCAATAGTTCCGTTAGCTGTCAAATCGATCAATCATCCTTTCCCCGGCGATATCGCCGTTTGAAACGCGGCCGGGCGACTCGTGCTCGTAATCGTCGCTCTACTTTTGCCGAACGAAATGGAATTGCGATTAGTTTCGGGAAAGTTATCGTCTCTACCTGCAATGAAACGCGAGACACCTCAGATATCAAAGAAATCTATCGTAAAGTAAAAGTACTAATGTCCAAATATATATCTAGTTCTGAATATTCTTATTGTTTTGCTGCTTTTAAATATGAATATTTAAACTTTCATTGTAAAAAATACATATATATTAAATATATAATACGTATTCTGCGTTAAAAGTTTAAGTATTCAATATTCGCGTTTACTATCGCGGTCTATTTAGGAGACTTTCGTAACCTCGTTTTTTTTTTTTACGTAATTATGCAAAATAGACCTAGTTCGATAATGTGGATACGGAAAAAAATTTTTTGCCGTTACACTTATGTATTCTGCTGATCTCTAGTGACAGAGATTATTGCGTTACACATAAACGGTCCCAATTATGGGTCGAGCCCCAATTTCGGGTCAAGCTTGGCTTATTATATTAAAAAAAGTATGTATTATGATGAAAACATAACGGAAAAAAAAATTGTTTTATGTTCTTTAGTTTTTTCACAATTATATTCTAAAGTTACACTCGCAAACATTCTTAATATTTAAAAATATTTAGGATATCAGTTGTTTTTACCAGCTCTTTAGATTTATGAAACTGCTAGTAAGTTATAGAGGCTACATGTACACATGTATTATTCTATATAGACTAAAATGACGCGAATAAGAACATAAAATTGAGTATTGTATAACCTATTATACTGGCGCGTAATACTTGCTGATCCACAATTGGGACTTATGTATAAATGTTTCTAATTATCTTCCTTATAATTTAGAACAAACTAATTTGAAGTCTAATAATTAAAATAATTTTGTTTCGAAATTATAATGTTACCTACTTATATTGATATCAATAGTTTATTTTGATGTTCGATCGACAAGTTTATATGAGGACTAATTTTTCCAACCTCTTGGTAGGCTAATTGACAGTTAAATCATATGTCTATTTAATTTAAAGAGGAAACGAAAACATGCATAGGGTATCAAGAGGTTGAAAAAATCCTAAAGCTGGAAACACACGGAAAAACGTAAGCAGTAAAGCTTGAGCAGTAAGTAAATTGACCGAGTATAGTCGATGGTTCTTCTTATGGTTCAAGATTAATCGATTGTGATTGGTCAATTTTCTTACTGTTCACGTCTTGCTGCGTATGTTTTTCTGTGTGTTTGTGCCTTAAATGATTGAAAGCCATTCTAACTCTAAATTACCCATAATTGAGATTATTACCTTATATGAGCTAGCGAAAATAACAGAGGTGTTAGAGACCAAGACAATAACAATGTCCAGGATTAGGCACGTGCACGGGCATTGATGCTTTTTTCATCTTACGCGTGCTAAACCCTGCCGATGGAGGAAACCTCAGGTCGTTACATAAAAGTGAGCTCATCTAAATTTTAAATTCATGATTAGATTCATGAGCGTTGCAGGCGTTTCGTTCCGTGCGTTTTTCATGAAAGGCATCACGGCACAGCGTATTGTTTCGAAAGATAAAAGGACGAGCCACATTCAATGCCAATTTACGCTCTGGCGATCGTACGCCACGAAGCATACGATAATACACGGTACATTCCACCGTGTTTGTACGCGTGCATCACCTCCGCGCGCGCGCGTGTGTGTGTGTGTGTGTGTGTGTGTGTGTGTGTGTGTGTGTGTGTGTGTGTGTGTGTGTGTGTGTGTGTGTGTGCGTGTGCGTGCTGCGTATGAGCTTCACACGCGCTATTACGTTCCCATCGCGCACGGTCCGTCATTTCCTGTAGGTCAGTATAAAACTCCGTACTTTCTATAACGCATCGAATTTTTCCTACAACATTCCTACGGTGATCCGTTTTTCCAACGATCCCTCCTTGCGCGCGCGCGTCTGTATGTTTGGTGCGCCGTTTTTGCGGTGTTATGAATCGCTTCGCGCGATACGCTCCGTGACGATTCGCGCTGTTATTTATTTGTCAGGCGTGTTTCTCTCGTTTATATCACGTGTGACACCGAGCCCAGTTTCACTCGGTCTGGAAAAAAGCGGCCAATATAAAAGAAAGTGGCGAACAGGGAAAAGAGGTCACGGAAGCCGTACGGTACGGATATGTCTCTTGACCTTGGGAGATTTTTTTTCCATCTTACAATCACTTGGCATAACCGATGGAGATCGTTTAAATCGTCGCGCGAAGAGGGTACCGTTATAACGAGTAAGAGAATGGCTCAGAAAGCCCGGAAACAAAGGACGTATAGGAAAATAATTGCCAGTCTCTTGTCCTTTCTCTTTTGCGCAAAGTTCGCTGAAGGAAGAAAGACGGGAAACGGCCGATTATACGAGTGCGCACACGTTAAGTATTAGGAAGGACATGTGCTATGTTATGTTAAATTGCCGTGGTACATAATAACATAGTGTAGTGAGGTATCGTGTGCGATTTCGTTAAATTAGTTACCGTTTCTCACAAAGTTAGAAACTTCAACAAACTGCATGTTATATATATTTTTTAAGTAAGTAGTCTACGGAGAAAGGAAAATGATTAAACATTTCGGAGCTTTGTTATTATTATTGTTGTTATTTTAAGAATAATTTGTAGGGAATACTTCAGATATTTTTTGAGTGAGATTCCTCTATTTGTTTATTTTATTTAAACCGCTCGATTTTCAAGAAATCGATCGGAACGTAAAGTGCTATTATCTGTCTTGTATATGTTGCTAGTGTATTAAATTATGTTGTGCATGTTTTTAGGTATGATCGAAAGATGGGAGACCTTGGCGTCGCGAGTTGAGCAAGCACAAATGGCCAGCGCTCTTCATCGCGAACTGGCTGCCATGCGGACGGAGTTCAAAGCGACGCATGATCGCCTGTTCGATTACGAAATCGTCTTGGAGCAGCCGCACGTGCTTGATGATCGCATTAACGGAATCACTGTAAGTTTCTTTTCGTATCTATCTGTGTTTGTTACTTTATACATGCACACATGCGTTCATTCGACAGTTGTCTTTAAGAAGGTGCGTTTACGCTTCACGTCAGAAGCCAGCCGGGTTTAAATATTGTATGTGAAATATGTATGCATTGTTGGCACTTATAAGAAGTATTATGTAACACTACAAAACTAATTTTTCAAGAGCTACACTGGTAATACCTATGTGTGAGTTAAGTATCTATATATCTCTCATGTATATTTTTCTTTTCCTGAAAATATTGAGTAAATAGGCTATTAATTATAGAATTGTACGATATTTTATCTGAGATATTTTTTCTTTTTTAATAAAATTGAAGAATAATTTTAATTTTGATTGCTACAAAACATGTTTATATACTTCTTATTGGTGCAATTTGTATACGTGCAAATTACATCTAAGGCAAATGTTGGGTACGCACATAACGAGATTTTTTCTTTTAATTGAATGCATAAAATTGAAAATGCTCTCTTTTACAGGGTAAAAGTACAAACGTTAATGAATGGATGTCGCTAAACAGTTGCATGAAATCAACAAACTTTTTATAATCAGTCGGTAACTAGCAGATTTTTTGTTGATTTTATGCAATTGTTTATCATTAGCTGTTAACACTTGTACTTTTACTCTGTAAAACCATTTTTAATTTAATACATCCAATTAGAAGAAAAAAGAAAACTATAAAACTGCGTTATGTCGATATCTAGCATCGTCTTAATTCATTTAAACGTTTTCGGAGCATTTTTTTATTAGGATAATATTTTAGATAGTTTCTACCAACAATAAGCAAATTACACGTATATGTGTCAATGCACCGTCGGTAAGTGTACCGGTAGATACACACTTGCTAAACTAGAAATCTTCCATTTCAACTCGACTGATATAGTAGGGATTCGTTTGCTTTGTCTCACCTCAGGTGCAGAAATGATGATCATAAAATTTCGCAGTTTTTAAAAAAATATGATATTGAAACATACTAACAGAGTTTAACATAAATAAAGTCTTTCTCCCACACTTCTCATTGTTTATCTTCAAGGCAATGAGTTGTTTAATATATCTCGAGACTACTTCAATAAAAACTGCTCAATCTCATGTAAAATCTCATGGAAAAGTTGCGCAAGTTGCTCTTGTGACGTTTAATTTGCAACTTTAACGCCTTATCACCGTTTACATAGCGCATTAATCAACATCGTCTTAACCGGGAGATCGATGTTATATTTCGAATATAATTTTTACGTCATTTTTATGTCAGTAACGAATTATTAACGTTGAATTTCCTTGACATTATCGATTATGCATAAATCCAGTTTCGCCAGCAAATGTTGCGTCGAAATTTCCAACGTCTTCAAACATCCGCGAGGATATTTATCTGGAATCCGAGTGTACGGGAGAAAAACTCGAAAGTTTCCGTGCCGCGAGATGCGTCGCCCTTGACGAATTTCTGAAAGTCCCTCGGAAATCGAATCGCAATGAGAAGGCGCGTTATTGGAAATGTCTCCGGTATGGCGGGCAAGACAGAAAAGTCAGAAAAGCGGGTGGAAAGCTCTCTCGACCAGCTCGTGGCCGGGGAGGAGGAACAAAATGAAAGCGAGCGAAGGAGATGGGTGTGAGAGGCGAGAGGAGGAGGTGGCGGAGGTGGAAGAGGAGATGGAGGAGGCAACGGAGAGGAGAGACCGGAGGTAGAGAAAGAGTAGGAGAGAGCAGTCAGGAACCAAGTAGAGAAGGTAGAGAGTGGCGTAAAAGCGTAGTCGTGTCGCACGTACGCTCGTCTGACGGCGACGTGCTCGGCATCGCAACTCGCGAGAGCGAACGCCGGCGGAACCTAGCCAACCCCCTGGAGTTCTCCACCCCCGAGAGTCATCCCCCGATCCTCCGGCACATCCAGCCCTACTACCGTGGTGGAACCTCTGGAAAGCCGCCCCGCGCGCCCCCGCAATATCCTCGGCACCCTCCCAGCCTCATTGCGAAGACCAAACACATGCTCCCTATCTATCATCAAGATATATTAGCGTCCAACATTTGCCGGGTGAACTCGTCGCTCTGCTGCATTATGCACGAGACGTGTGTGTATGTGTAGCTCGCGCCGAACCGCGTCCGAACGAAAGCCGTGCTCTTGTTTTACATGCTTCCCTCTTCGCGTCGCGTCGCTCTCTGGTCTTTCCCGATGACACGAGGTCTTCGACGTCGCTGAAATGTCGCGCACGAGCTCGGCCACGGAAACCGCGGCTCTTCTTCTGCGGGAAGAGTCAGGAAGAGGGTCTGGTTTTCATGTTGATACCGGCTAATTCGCTCACTGTCGCAAATGCATAGAGCAGCGCATAATCGTGAATGTGTGCATTGTATGTACATGTATGTATGCATGCGTATGTATGTGTGCACACGGTGGACAAAACTGTCAACAAGCTGATTACTTATCGGGAATGATTGTTCGTGACACACGTGGCGACGGCGAGCTGCGATTGGAATGCAAGCCGTGCGGCGCGAAAAGCACATCGGCGCGGCCGCATGCAGACTGACGCGCGAGACTGAATTGAACGTTTCGTATGTATTATGCATTGCTAAGCAGGGCGCAATTGGGTCTACGCGCTCATTCGGTGGCACGTATTCACGCGCAACGCGATTCGATGAGGCGCGTCATCTGCTGATTATGTTATTGCGTAATATCGGACAAACACACATATCCGTGCAGCAGAGGCCGCTCTGCCGGGGAGAATCTCGTTACTCGCACTTACCTTCACCTTCGTGGAGCCGGATACCGCGCGATAATTCATGTCGCACGAGCGAGCAGCGCGTTTCAGCGCATCCGGACTCGGCGTATTTCTTCTCGCATGAATGTCGAGATGTCGAGGAAAAAAAAAAAGAAAAACGCCATGCACCCCCGAGCGTGTCACCCTTGAAGTCTTCCCTTTCGCGAGAACGAGCCGCGTGCGCAAACGCGATACCGCGGGGACCATGGCGGCGCAATTAAAATACTGGCGGCAGTGGATCTCCGTTCCACTTAGTGCCGCGGAATTACGAGACGTAAAAAGCTAATTCTCTACTTTTACAGGGTACGTGCTCACGGCGACGGCGGCTGTCGCCGCCACCGCCACCGCTACCTCATAGGCATGCAGGTCCCGAACGCACGGCGACCGCTCTCTGTATACCGAATTCGAATCAATTGATTGGCTGTTGATTGGAAATTGAATTAGATCGGAATGTGCGTGTCTCTGCGAGGGTACAACGAGCGAGCGCGAGGGTGTGGTGGTGGCGGTCGCTGTCGGGGTGGGGCCCGGCGGGGGGCGACGGGGAGGTAGCTGCTGCCACTGGTTATGCGTCGTTGATGCTGATGGTGGTGGCGTAGAGGAGCGTACCAGGGTGGCTACGAAAGAGGGGAGAAGCGGAGCGGTCGCTTCTGCCTTTGCTGTGTGCGCGGAATATCAATGACAACCACTTTTCGCCGGACACCGGAGCAAATCCACGCCGCGCACTTTGCGAAAGCGCTTCTCTCGCGCTCGGCCTCGTGGCCGCTCTCCTTTTCATCGCGCGATTTGCCCCGATTGACGACGCAAACAAAGCCACCGGCCGACTCTGCCGACGCTGCTTCGCCGGCGGTGTACAGTTGATTAAGATTATCTACCTCTGTGGGGACGAATTCTTTTTCTTCGCGGGGAGAGGAAGGCGAGAGTGAGAGATCATTGATCTTGATGATCGCGCGTCGCCATTGGGAGTGACACGAGCGGGTAGGAAGGGACATTATTTATCGGGAATAGCATAGCTAAATATAAGGGTTGTAGAAATACGCGGTGTACGATGCAGTAACCACGTCACGTTGTCACATCCCTGTCGTCCTACCGCGGGACGCTCCCGACGAGGACCGCATAAATAAACCCGGGTTTACGACGGCGACATAGGGCGTAAGAGAACGAAAACGAGAGCCCGTTCCTCTTCTTGCCGTTCCATTTCTCTCGCTCATCGCGTGACGAGGAGACCTCGAGAAAGCTCGTAAAGCTCGTCCTTGCGGTCATCTCGCACGTCTTATGTCCTTCGCCTCGTCGTACGTTCTTTAAAAGTAATTTCCTTTTCCCGAACTACTGGCAGTGGTCTTGCCATCGCGTTCATCGCGACGCATCGTCGGTCTATCATCAATCGGACGCGCTGACTCTTTTATGTGTTCTCGATAAAACCAGAAATAGCGATTTAGTTTTGCCGAACGTAAGTAGATCTTCCGGAAGTTTCTTTTAAAACGTTTTCGCACACGGCATTCGAATATCGTCTGGAACCAACTTGTCCAAATTTTAGCTCTATTTACAATCTCAAAAAAAAAAAAAAATATATATATATATATTCCATATTATTTTGATATTCTGAAGTCTATATCAATCTGGTTTAAGTCTGTTTAACCTAGTAATTTAGTCCGGAAAAATCCTCTTTAAAATCTACACACAGAAAGATATTATTCTACTGATAAAAAAGCAGTTTTTTCTTTGAAATAATAGTTATCTTTAATAAAGATTATTTTTTTTATAATAGTCTTCAAGTATATTCATCACAAATTTGAGAAAAATTCATTCTCATGTATTCAGAAAGAGAATTTATTCTCTTTATAAAAGTATTATAAAATCTTATCGAAGAAATTGATTCGACTCTATGCAGTAAACAAACCGAATTTTTATTTTAATTTCATATTCTTGGTTGAAACTGCTAAATTTTTTTAGAATTTAGAATGCATTTTTAATAGATTTGATGCTTGTAATGAACTCGTGCTAAATTTATGGGTATATAAACTTGTGGAATACTTGAAACAAGTAACGTTGACTCAATTAAAGTTATCGTATTAAGAAAAATGAAGATGAAAACTTGATACATGATTTAAAAATTATAGATAGCACTAAGATCCTTTGCAATCGTTAAGAAGTTAAGCATGATCAATTTCCTTCTCTTTAAGGATACTTACTGATAAGCTTAACTGATAAGCTCCTTAACTGGATAAAAAGTGGCGCGCAACCAGTGTAGGAAATAAAAACTGTTTTCTAATTAATTTCAGGCGCCCATAAGTGTTGGATCTTTTTTGTTTTATGTAGAAAGATGCATGAATTACACATTGATAAAACGAAAACTCATAATTAATAACAAAAATCATAATTTTGTGAGTTGGATTATTCTTGCATAACTATAGTCAATTCTCAGCGGATATGAAAACATGAGACGCGGAATGCAACATTGTTGACTGAGATAAAAGAAAGCGTAGTCTGATTTACGCAGCGAATCAGACGCGATAAAACTCTCTTAGACCCCACGTATATCCGGTCGCTGGATTCTTAGTCTACTACTGTGGCCACTTTATACATCACCTTCACCCTTCGGGCGACCCCTGCGCGTTTGCCCTTGCACCGCGGGTAATTCGTTTGAGTTAGGCAACCGAGCTAGCTACTAAAAATGTATATTTTATGTTGCAGGCCGAGCTGACTGTTCTGAAAGACCGCAAGGCTGCGATGCTCGCATTGAACGTCTCCGCGCATCGACTGATTACCGATCTCGGTGCCTCCGCGCCTTTGATCTGTGCTGCCCTCAAAGATGGCGTAGCGGATCTTTATAGGATATGGGATGAAACGTTCCAAAAGTGAGTGTGCGATTCATTTTGTATTGCTTGCTTCTCAGATTAGTTTTAGGAAAATAGATACAGCACACTATCCTTTCTCGTTGACATCTTGTGGTTAAAAAGAAAACAGTAATAATAATTAGATACTTCTCAAGAGAATTACTGCCTTCCAAACTGTTCGGTATTATGGACTTTGTTCCGGGTAATCATTAAAAATTGTTGATTGATCGATTATTTCTGGGTAATCATTAAAAATACCTCCATCTCCCGCGAATATAAACTTTAATAGTTCGCTGTAGAATTTGGAGGGAATCTCGCTGTATGTTGACGGTTTGATAGTACTCTTGATTAATTTGGAGAATATCTTGACCACGGGGCTCAACGGGACATAGAATAGTTGGTACTGGATCATCGGCCGGCCGTTTGCTGGCCGACGTGTGACGTTAGGCAAATATTGTGAGAGGTAATGAAGCCACCAAAGCAAACAGCGGAAACCGAGAGCGGCATAGGTACCGCCCGTAAGGGCTCTCCTCGTTGGGATTTTGACCCGTGTCGTGGGATTACTAGCTTTAGCGGAGATCGCGTTTAATCATGGACCTTTTTCGAGTGACAGCTCGGACAGAAGAGCGACCAATTCGAGCAACGAGAAGGGTCAGTGCAATATCTTCGACCTCTTGCAATTTTGCCGATATTCGCGGCATCGATCGCACGCGCTAAATTCGGCAATTTCATACCCAATTTAATTTCAGCTCAAAACGTTGCGTGATCATTTTATCAATGTGAAACTATAAGGTGCGAATCTGCCCCTTTATCTGAAATTTTACCTACAACATGCAATTTCAATATTCACATTCACATTCAATATTCATTTCAGTATTCAGATTCACAAGTTCTGCACGCTGTGACATATTTAATGTTAAGATTTATTTATTACTGACAAGTTTTGCACACAGACTGCAAGTCTTTATAATGTGCTTCAAGCAATTATTGTTAAAAAAAATAGAGATAATACAAGTCACGCTTCTCCGACAGTAGTTTTCTTCGCGTGAGCAACGAATAGTTAGCGCGATCATTACAATCCCCTTTTAATTTCCATATGAGCACTCGATCCCCCTCTTTGATGGGGGTTTAGACCATTCAAAGGGGTTTACCACTGACCCATTGGGGTTTGCAGAGGTCAATCCTATCCGTCCGCTTAGTACGAAAAGACATTTTTATTCTCGACGGGAGATGATTTCCACAAAGAATAGTTCTCAAGCTCGCTTATTCGTCTGATTAATCGACAGTATACAGCTGAAAAAAACGTCGCGATAGTTTCGTCAATGTTGTAAAATTGCACATCGTACCTCCGATTTCTCGTCTTTTCGGCGGATACGCCAATGGGAAAAAGGAACACAAGCCTTCTTCGATTCATTCGTATATTCGCTGGGGGCGTTCAGATTGACCTCGAATAAAGTGTTTTTATTTGCCGATAGTGCCGGAGGGAGGGCCTACTAATAATTCGACGTCTTAATGTTTGCACAACGGCTTTCCCGTCTTTCTGTGTTTTTTATTGTATTGACTCGCATGATTTTTCCGCCTAAATTTACCTTGCCTCCTCTCACCCTTTTGAAAAATAATGAATAATTCACGCAGAATAGATTTAATAAAAACTTTCACCATTGTTGAAATTAATATGGACGTATTATGCACAAATGTATTGTTATTCTTTTTAACTTATATTAATTTTGTGTTGTAAAATTGTAAAATTAATAAGAAGTGTTTTTTTTTTTTTTTTGTAAAATCATGAACGAGAGTTTTATGCTGAAAAATATCATCATCATATAATCGTTATAATAACAGCTTTTCTAAACAATGTGCAACATCTGTATTACAAGTGCACCTACGATTTTCTTTTCAGATGTAACCAGCAGTTGTGCGCTTTGCAAGCCGTGCAGCAATTCGGCACACGCTTGGCGGAATTGCAGTCTGCTCTGCAGAGGGACAAAGACACATTGGCGGTCCTTGACGTAGCCCTGCAAGCGGGTGCCACCTCGGAGGTTGCCTCTTCCGTTCGTCACGTCGCCCGGCTTCTGTCTGAGAGACAAGACATCAATTGTCAGGTACTGTCCCTTCGATTTGATTCGACCTTTGTTCGTCTGATCACACAAAAAAATATTCTGCTCTCTCTCTTTACTAAGAAAATCAATTACTCGATTTACTCATCTTCTTTTAAGTAATGGTTTCCTACAAGGAATATTTTCTTGATAATGTCTTGAAATATGTTCATCACAAACTTTAGAAAAGCTCATTATCATATACTCAAAAGAAGAATGCATTCTCTCTTTACAAACATATCATAAGATTTCATTGCATAAAAACTTTGTTTGACTGTAAGTAAACTGAATTTTTGTTTTAATATTTTTAATTGAGATGTTAAACTTAAAATTCAGAAAGCATTTTGAATGAATTTGATACCTACGATGGGCTTACAATAGATTTGCGGATGTATATACTCATGAAATATAATATTTGAGTCAAATAATATTTATTTGAAAGCAGTACGAATTTTTCTGTGTGTAGTAATAGCAATTAGATGCATCAACAACAGGAAATAACTAACTGTTAAATCATGTGTCATATGTTTTTGTTTATTTTGAAGGAAAAACAAAACATGATTTGACAACACACCAGGACAAGTACAAGACATGATTTAACTGTTAGTTCACTTTTCACTCGATTGCAGCCTTAGTAATAGTAATAACCAATAGTAAACTTATTACAATAGTATTCACATATTATTGTAATAATTCATAGACGTATTCTTTCACACTTTCGAGATTCTTTAAAATAGAATTTATTCCGTATAAAAGCCATTCTACAATTGCATAAACTTGATCGTAAATGGTTGTAAGTGATTATGACAATCAATCAAAATAAGGCAATCATGAATAAAACACTCTGATAGGTTAACTCTTACGCTCACGATCACGCTTACGCAATTGTAGAATGGCTTTAAGATTGAATTGATAAGCTTGTCTGTTTACATCATATGTCTGTGGATTACAATACTTGTTTACTTTAACGGAAGGTCAACGTTTTAGCATGTAAACAACAAAGTCTTTCCCGAACTGTTTGTCAGATATCCCCGTCGTATCCTTGATTTTCAATCGGTTAGATAGCTGTTAGCAATTATTCAACGCTAGTGGATGGGGTAACGGTTCCCAGAGGTATCGCTTGTGTGCATAAAACCATTTCCCCACATAGATTGGGAGAGTCGCAGGTCTCGGGGATGTAACTTACCTAAAGGAAAGCGAGATTATAATACGAATTGTATATCCCGTTTCCAATAAGTCACGCTAAATCGGTTTGTAGATTGCGTTCTTCGGATTGCGCGGTACAGATATCATATCGATCTTTTCCTCTTTCGATTGACATAAGCGCTATTAAAAAGCAACGATAGTGAAGTCTCCCTCAGGTGCGACACTCTGTCCGTTATTCTGTGATACCTTAAAATCAACGTATCTCTCAATTTATTTTGTCGTTTATATTAAATTAATTTTTTCCTTTGTTGAATGATGTATCTCTTTCTCTCTCTATATATATATATACGTTTACTGTCGCGTCGTAAAACAATTAGGAAGATGGAAATAATTGAGAATTACGTTATACGTGATACGTAAAAGTTGTATACGTGCGTCACATATGGCGCACGTCGGGAGATAAATCTTCGAGTAGCCTGAACACGCGCGCAGAGGTTGCTCGAAGGAGGAGGAAGAGAAGGGGCCAGGTCGGAGAGGGTACGTTTGACAGATGATACTTGTCGATATCGCGTCTCCGTTAAACGCCATCACATCCCCCTATTTCCACCATATCCGTCTTTAATTTGCATATAAAGTAAATCTCTTGGCAAGCCCGTTTTACGTCGGTTCTTTGCTTTATGGACGTAAGGTGAGTAATCGAAGGTGCAACGAATGGCGGGTCTGCAACCATGATTTTCGATTGAGTCGCTCGTTTAACTTGTCGGGAAGACGTATCTCTCATGTTCGCGTCACTCGCCGGAGATTCGCGCGTTTTCAGCAAAAAGTCAGTTCAATCGAATTCACATCAAATACCGCTGCGATACGTTCATAATCACGTGAAATACTAGTTGCCGGAAATACTCCCTGAATTTTGTTGCAGTGCAGTCTCATTCAAAACGAGCGAAAAGTGGCAGTATCTTCATTCGCAATAATAGTGACAATATTGTCACTTGAAATCGCAAGAGTGTATGTTTTCTTAAGTGTAGAGTGGATTCTGAATCCATGAGCGAATGTTTCAATCAATTAGAACAAATGTGTTCCTGTGACGATGTGAAGTACATCAGATTCATTGTCTTCAATTTTGAGTAAAAATATTCACTCCACCATTCAGAGCAGAGAATTCACTCTATATAAATGAAAAAGAATTATTTTACTGCACCGAAAGAAAAAATGTCTAAAAATAAAAGAATATTTATTTCGTGGATATTACTAATATATTTCCTTAAGTCTGCATTCTTTTATTTATTTTAAGTAGAATAAACAATGGACTTTATAGGAAACTAAGATTTTAAGAAAATTTCTATTTTATTATTTGAAAGATATTCTATACTGGTATAAGTAAATGTGTTATTAGTACTCATCGAACAAATATTTTTTATTTCTTAAATATTTTTTCTTTTATAGTATACCATAATATTCGCCACTTCGAATAGTAAACCACATAGTGAACCAAATAGTCATTCAATCGATAACAGAGAGAGAGAGAGAGAGAGAGAGAGAGAGAGAGAGAGAGAGAGAGAGTGTGTGAAGATTATTAAAACTTTATATTTCATGATATTTAGAATATAAAATAATATATAATATAAAATAACATATAGAAAATAGTGAAAATATATAAATTTAATATTTCAACTTTTTTTCTAACGATAAATGAGACATCCTGTATACACTTCCGCTACGTACGCATTACAGTTTATAGTTGACGTATTACGCGGTGAAAATATTTTCGAGAGCTCGTATCTCGCGTTATGCTCGATGCGTCGCGCGTATCGGTCGCAGTAGGTGCTCTCTAACAATTTCCAATTGTCCCCGCGCTCATTTCGCCTGTCAAGAAGACGTACGACCCGCGACACAATGCTCTCTCTCCAATAATAGGAGCCTTTCCTTTCGTCTTCTCGTTTCTTCTTTTTCCGTGTGTATCGCCGCGTCTATATTTTAACGTATTCAAAGTCCCGTCAAGGCGGTATAATCCGAAAAGTTCTTAGTCTTGCCGATCTACAGCACTCGAGGGAATAATTTCATGCACTTGACATTACGCTGTTCTTTTTTTCTCTCCCTATCCCTCTTTCTCGCTTTTTCCATCCTCCCCTCGCGACACAGTCCTCTCGACTCTCTGCTCTCTCCCCCGTCTCTTCCTTACTATTCACTCTTATTTCGGAGAGTCGAAGAAGAGGGAAGTGTACGATAAAGCACTTGACATTACATTCTTCCTTTTCACGTGGCATTGCGAATTTTTCCCGGCCCTTCTATTTCTTCGGTGACAGTCTTCTCGTGCACGGTTGCGAAGTGTTTATTTACAAAATCGGAAAGACATTTTTTTTTGTTTCGATGTATACTCACTTTCACACAGAGAAATATCAGTCTACTGCTGAGAAAAGTGATTATTTTTCTTCTTTCAAATAATGGCTACTTTCGCAACAAAGAATATTTAACAGTCTTAAAATATGCACATCACAAATTTTCGAAAAGCTCATCACGATGTTCTTAGAAGAAGAATTTATTTTCTTTACAGGAATATTATAAACTTTTATATCTATAATTTTTATATCTATAATTCCTTTATATCTATAAAGGAATATTATTAACCAAATTTTTCTCTATTCGAGAAAAAGTTGGTTCGATTTCGCTTCGTAAGTAAACGGAATTTTTGTGTTTTAATATAATATTCTTGAATAAAGTCCTAAACTTACTGGGATTCGGAATGTGTTTTGAGTAAATTTACTACTGGTGACAAATTTGTGATTGATTTGCGGATAAATAAACTCATGAGATACTCGAAACAAGTAATACTTATTTGAATGCAACATGCATTTTTCTGTGTGCATATACAGGACAGAGCGCACAATTTTTCGTATCGAATCACAATCGACAGAGGCGCACGGTGAATCCATGTCGACGGACACGCTCGTTTAGTTCTTCCAGCCGCGAGAAATCCATAAGTTTTGATAGGTAGTAAATAAAATATTAGCCGGTGTATACTGGCTGCTGTGCAGGGGCAAATCAAGAGAGAGAGAGAGAAAGAGAGAGACACAGAGAGAGGGGGGGGGGGGAAGAGAGAGAGAAGGATAGATAAGTTTTGGCCGGGATACAGCAGCGAGTCCGAGTTGCTGCCGAGGGTGTTGGCCATCTCAGAGCCAGCGGCTCCCTAGGGAACTCCGATCGTTAATCGCCCGAACGATTCCCTTTCGCGTCACGTACGGGAATGGCCCGTGGAATCAGCGTAAAAATACAAATTTAATATCAACGGTGGGTGGCTGTCTGGTTGTAGTTCGTGTCGCCTCGAAAATTCCGTTTTGCTACGTGCGCTCGCGGGTCGACGGACAAGTTCATTAATCGGGCATTCGATCCGCGCGGTGCGCGCTCCGCGTTAATAATATACAATAAAAGATATCGCCTTCTCGCCTTTCAAGATGTACTCCGTGGATCTCGAACGAGTCGTCTTCTTTACTCTCGCTTCCGTTATAGGCGAATCCGCACGTGTACAAATCATCTCGCCGAGCGATATCATCCTGCTTCCGTCAATAGTTTTTCACTTCTCTCCTCGAAGATTTCGCGTCAGCGAGTGAGCGAGTCGATTTTTTCATCTCGCCTTTTCGCGATATGAGATATTTTACGTTATGTATCGCTATGCTGCACCATACATACATACATGGCCCGTTAAATTAGGTATATAGTACATGTATATATCGCGTTATATGTGTACTCTGTAACACTGTGTGTGTGTGTGTGTGTGTGTGTGTGTGTGTGTGTGTGTGTATGTGTGTGTGTCTTGTATTTCGCCAATGTAACCGGATATAAGGAGCTCCTCGCAGTTTTCTTTCGCGCGATTGGCCTTTCGGGCAGCGTGGATTCCGTCTCGACTCACTTCGTACCTACTATCCGTTATACCAGAGTATACCGACTTATATATAGGTTAGGTTGAAGGTTGCTACTTGGTATGCGGATCGCGCTTTTCATTACCGGAGGCTCGTTCCCTCCGTCTCCACCGTTGCAAACAGCCTAAACCTACCCTTTCTTCCACGCAGCCGCCCTTCCCTCGACTGTCTGTCTACTGCTCGACCACTACCACTGGCATTCTCGCCGGTATTCGCGCCATGTTTATCGCGCTCCCATAGCGCAAACGTGTATCTGCAATCCGAGAAGACGCGCACATTTCTTCGGTGAAAATATATTGATTCGCGCTGCGCGATATATTTGTATTTACGCATCGCCGGCGGAGTTGTATCGATCGAGCAAAGGAAGGACCTCTTGTACACATCCGCGACAGTTATCGCGAAAATCGTATGCAAATCTCCCGAAACGCTCGTCGACGTATCGCGGAACGATCAATTCGGCATCGAACATCCCCGCCTTATTCTCGCTTCTCTTTCACCTTGCACACCCTCGTCTTCGCCCTCTCTCTATATAATCGTCTTATACGCTTTCTGATGCCCTCCGGTGATGCGCAAGAGTGGATTATACAATATTCCATATCGTGTCCTCCCGAGTATACCCGCACTTATCAGGATCTCGCGATCCGTCGCGCGCGCTGCCGTTTCGCTGTAATTTTCCACTGATTTTTCCCTTTTTGTCTCTCTCTTCCCTCCCCTCTCTCTCTCTCTCTCTGTCTCTCTCTTTAATCGGCTTCTGTGATCAATAATCACACATCGCGATGAGAAACTGACCAATGAACCAAACGTTAGCAGTATGTCGGCAGATTCGATCAGAATACCGTGGCAGATCTATATAGTCATCTGTGTCCGCATTAAATTCATATTTTGTCGACAGAGTCTGCTGGCAAAACTTGATATTGGCGGCAGAAACCGAGCAGAATCTGCAGTACTTCCCATTTCAATATATTTAAATGGTTACCGAACGACAGATCCTGCTCGGTTTCCGCTGTCAATCCACCGCTGTCAATACTTTGTGGATTTTTTATGCTTTACCGCAAAATTAAATGATACTGGAGCGTATTAAAATAACACATTAACACGTCCTCCACTTTTAATACGTTAATACATATATCTTCTAATGAACAAACGTGAGATGCACACATATAGTCGATATTACAAATGCGAAAAATATTTTCTTTATTTTTTTTATTAATGCTTCATTTCTAACCTAATAGAGATGCAAAGATAATAAAAAGAAATATATAAGTGTTTAAATATATATATGTAATTCGAGTATATTGCTATAAATTATAAACTTTGCATTGCTATATTTTCCAAACAATACGGTCAATAATTTTAAAATTTGTATATCACGTCGCACATATCGTCTAGCTTTTAATATCATAGTATTTTTTTATTAAAACTCTAATTTTAGTTTACAAGAAATTAAAAATAGCAAACCAACCTCAAGACACACATATAAAAGTGTCAACTTTACTTTTCAAATACCTCAACTCCTAAATGATCAATCTTAATTACACGAACAGTTAGATAATATTTCAGTTTATATCTAATGCAAGTTTCAATAAATTCTTAACAAATTCATTTCGCTTTAGAACCTCCTCAATCTAATTTTGAATATCGTCTTTTAGTATTATAGAGACGAATTTGAAGTTACGTTAAGCAGTTGGAATACGTATACGTGTGTTAATTCAAAATGCCGATATAGTGTGATAAAGGTAAAAACGTGTTAACGCGTTATTTTAACACACTTCATTTCACAGTGTTCTGCTATGAACTTTTGCATCAGAGACTTTCTGCAAAATCTGCTTCTGCAGATTTAACTGTTCGGGTGCGCCCATCCTTGTGGCTAAAGTACTGTAAAACAATAATGTATTAAATGAATGAATAATTCGTTAGCTATACAAATAAATACGAGTACCAAACGCTACCGGGTTGCACCAGATCGCATCGCGATCAACGATTACTGAACCGGCGCGCAATTATGTTTTTTTTCAGAATGACGCAGTGTTGAACGACACGACGACCGAGGAGGTGCACTGCGGCTCTCTCTCGAAATTTGCCGGCGCGTCCGCAAACAATCTTACGCAGGAGGGTGGATCCCTCTCCGACAGTGGGATCTCCGACAGCGGAAGTGAGCAGGAATTGAGCGAGCGGGAGCGCAGGTTAGCCGCTCTTCGCCGATTGACGCGCAGCTTGGAGACTCAGTTGGCACCGGGCAGCAGAGCTCTGACCGAGCTCTGGAAGAGAATCGAGGGTACCGAGGGCGAGCTGCGTGATCTGCAGAAGCAGTGCAGGGAGCTCATCGTCCGCACGAGTGCGGCGGCGAGTGTCGACGCGCGTGCCGCCAAGCGAACGGCCAGCCAGGTTCATCACTTCGCTGAGTGAGTACTGAACTATTGTTCCCCATTCGTCTCGTCGAGCGATCCTGCGAGTCTCTCGACGTTACATCACCGCAAATCCAAGCGTGCTACTTTCAAACGCGTAAGCGTCCAATTTGGTTAAAGCTGTTTTCTGAGCTTCATTTTGAGCTACGTCAATTAACGCGCTTAAGATACGCGTAAGTTGCAATTTAATACGTTTAAGAAGAGATTCAGCCGAAACAGCACACTTGGATTTGCAGTGATACCGCGGTTCTCTCGCCTGGTTTCGCTCGAACGTGCGCGAATCGCGTGCACGAGACGCAAAATGATAGAAATGATTGGGAGTTTTCGAGTCGGATGAATCGACACTGCCAATAATCACGATGACGTTCCGAAGAGATGATGAAATCGAGTGCCATTGAACCAGATAAACGAACGCTCGCCAAATTTCTCCGGATACCTTTGAGAACGGGACTCGCTTCAGCACTAAGAATCGTCCTCTTCACACACATTTCATTTGCATAACGTCGAAATGGGAAGTAAAGAATGAAGGCGACTATTTAGATGTGGAGACACGAGGTCGTTGGTCCATAACGCTTGAGCGAAAGGCGGCTACTCATTTGAATATAAGAACTCGGCCGAGAACTGGCGCGGTGACTGCACCCACTCCACTGCCTCTCTGACGGTGTGTGACGCGCAGTTGTTCAGAGAGTTTAAAAAAGATATATCCAAATACGATTAAATGCAATTTTTTTGGATCTAATTTTTTGGGACCCAACCCGATCTTCCAAGATAATTATGGGTTCTCTGAATAGCGATATAATATTTCAAACATGCAATTCCGAGTGAGGAAAACCAAGTTTTTCCTTTGAGAAAATATTTTTATGTTTTTTTGTTGTCTTTATTTGTTCTGATATTTTACGTTAGAATTGAAGGAAACATGTTGACTACCGAAGTAATTTTATTATTCAGTAAAATACTCAAGTGTTTTAAGAATATTTTATTTGAATGCAATATTTGATGTAAAAATGGGATTCCCCATTTGATACCATAAAAGTATACCGACATTATCGACGGGAAAAACGCAAGTTCCCGTAGTATCTCTGTTTCGATTCTAGACAAAGAATCCATATTAGGCATAAGAATGGGGATTCTCAATTGGTATTGTAGTGGGATAACTAGTTTTGGGACAAATTTGGACATTTTAATCAGAACTATGTTGCATCCGGAGAAATCCTTGAGAGATATTTCTACGCGGATCATACCCGTTATCATGGCGATTGGGTAAACGATGTCTTCCTCATTGATAAATCCTTCCCCACGAAGGATTTGAAAATGAGTGAATTGACGCACTTGTCACTCTTCATCCGTAGCCGCAACCCAGAGCGTCGAGTTTCTTTCATCTCTTCTTCCGTTTAACAGATACAACCTTACGACGTTGCTCGCCGATGGTGAATTACTCGGGATTCCAATTATCATCGGTGTACCTTATTTAACTTTGTTTTAAGGACGCTTTTATGGCCACGTTCAATCACCGCTCGGTGGCGGCGATAATAGGTTTAGTTTTCGCGGGCGTGAAGCATCTGCCACGCCGAGTCGTAAAAAAGACGTATAAAAAGCCAGTGCCATTTTCTTCGATCGACGGCTTTCCGTCTCGCTGTGTTTCTCCTTTTTTTTTCATCTAGCCGCACATCGTAAAGCGTGCGCAGGCCGCGTTTTAACGACAACAAGGGACATTTTTAAGCCTTTCCTCGCCGCTTGCAAATTAAAGCGGAAACCGAGCGAGTACTCGCAGCGCGCGGAAAACGAACTGACTACTTACTCGCACACATTTACGTAACGCTAATGGAGCGGCGAGCAAGGCAACGCTATAATTGCAAGCCCAATTTCGCTGCCTCCGAATTACGTGGATGCATCTCCAAATTGATTTCCCGGCGAACTTTACCATTACTGGTTTACTCGTATTATCGTGACCCGTGGGACGGCGTGAATTAATTTTCGCAGTTGCGAACTCGTTCCAAGTTTCTCCTCCTAAAACGATCGAGTGCAGATCCGGCCTAGCGAGCTAACGGATTATCAGGCAAAAACGGAACGGAACGTCGCGAATTACGATTCAGGATTCATGAGAAGCGTGGAAAATTTATAAGAAGCGTAAAGGATTTACTAGGGAAACGTGGAAGAGCGCAAAAAGGAAATTTTATCGCGAGCTACAGTACGATTGAAGTATGCCGATTTAAGGAGGTTTGGGAGACACAAAGGCACCCGTTGCAACGCAACTCGCGCAAACCAATATTGACTCTGTGCAAATGAATTTCTTTGTAGGACGAGCGGAAAGAAAGAAAGAGAGGGAGAGAGAGAGAGAGTGTCGCGACTTTGAGTCGCGTGCGTACGGGGCTCGCTTCGACCATCCAAACGTGTTTTTGTTTTGCTTCGTATTTTCCAGTAAACGCAAGAAAGCGTCCGACCGCGGCGCAAGCATGTCGAAGAGCAGCGCGTCGGAATCACCACCGGCGACGAAGAACAACACCTCTAAGGACTGCGACTTGGAGAGCGACTTCGACAGCGAGTTGATGCCTCACAGCTGGGTCTGGCGCATCTTCAAGGTGGCGTTGCCCTTCCAGCTCGCGCTGGTCGCCCTGTTCTGCGCCGCTTGCCTCTTGGGGCCGCATTGCTGCGAGACTGCCAATACGCTCAATATGTCGTTTACGCCGCAACTGCGCTACATCGGAGGACGGCCGCCAGTTTGAGCGGCCCTGATCGGTCAGGTACACGCAACTAGAGCGGAGATGATGCCGAATTTTATTAGCGGTTTTGTTTCGGGTGCAAACAGATGACACGAATGTCTGTTACATCTCTCCTCTGCGCACCGGTTTATATTAGCGGCCAAGCTCGGTACAACGTGCGAAGACCATCCGCGAATTTGTAGCGAGCGCTATCGAAGTATTACTAGATTAAATCTCGAGCGCCTGAGTCCGGCGAATAATCACACGTGACGAGGGAAGAAGAAGACGCATGCCAGCAATCACGTAAGAAACGACTGATCCCTTCCGTCAATCACTGCCTCTGTGTATGTTCTTGTTTGTGTGTTTTTTTTTAATTGCTTTGTGTCGGGTCACGCGAAATTTCTTTGACAAACCTCAAGTTTCGATTGCAAGCAATATCACGAATTACAAGAGATTATAGGGAAAAAACGTTCAGCAGCAGTCGACAATCTTGCGCGGATATTGTTGGATGTATTTAAGATGTATGTTTATTTAAAAGAAAACGAATAAGTAAACAATAATATATAATTACTTAATAATATATATATATATATATATATATATATATATATATATATATATATATATAACATGTATATATAAATCAATCCCCGTACACCTTGATATTTGACGGGATCCAAGCAAGGATGTCGAAAACTGGCAACTATTGAGCGTTTTCCCCTCACACAAGAACCACCTGTTTCAACCAGAGAAACTATAGTTGTTGGAAATATTTTATTTCATCTAATATACACATAATAACGCAAAAATAAGACCGTAAGGAAAAATTATGTATATTAAATATACGTAAATATTACGATTCGATGAAATTTGCAAACAAATAGCCGTGAATCTCGAACATTGCAGTTGCAAGCACTTAATTACTTATCCGCGCTTCGAAAGTATTTCGATAGTCGTATGAGAAGGAGACGTAAGCAGATCGCAACATTGAGCTTGGCGCCGGTTATTTTCCTGTCGTCCTGAATTACGCGAATCAGCAACCTATGTTATTGTTGAAGTATAGATATTTATTTATATATATATATTTATTTATATATATAATATATTTATATATATAATATATATATTTATATATATATATATATATATTTATTTATATATATATATTTATTTATATATATATATATATATATACATATATATATGAAAAGAAAGAGAGAGAGAGAGACATCGTATATTATATATTTTACTTATTATACAGTGTCGTTCGGGGGATGATGTTCAGTTCTCCTCTCACGTAGGAGACAGTAGGCCGGCTCTGTAACTTTTAAACGATATTGTCGTTATCGTACTGTTATCGTCGCGCAGGTGTAATACATGGTAGAAGAGTTGTGCAACAATGCACCATGCTAACGACGTCGTGCAAAGTTAGGGAATCGGCCTGCAGGTCCGACTAACGTAACGGACTCTGTACGCTTTTGACAAGCATGAGTCCGTTTGCATCGAATTTCACCGGGAAATTGTATACTTGGAATCCGTATTGTTAATCTTCCTATTTATTCCAAGTATCCTCCCGTAATACTGCTTTTAATATGTATGTACAGTAATCATTAACGTGATTTTTTATTCTCTCAATGAAACAACGAATATTTATTTCGAGGCATTTTCTTTCTTCTCATACATCGCGAGAACAAATCACACGAAGCTCTACATTAGATAGTTACGTGCCGATTACATTTTCACAGAACAGAGTGGCTCGTACTGAAATTCTCCTTTAGACATGTGCATGATAAACGGCATACCAGCCGTGAATAGAAGAAAAAAGGAAAAAAAAGAAAAAGTGTCGAATTTAGTACAAAACTTTTAACGCGTTGGGTTAAAATCGGCATAAAATGTTCACTTTGTGTCTTAAAATTGGCTATACAAGAAGAGAAAAAGATTTCTTTAGATTTTTAATAAGTTTTATCCAAATTTTAATAAGTTTTATCTAAACAAAATTTGATTATTAGAACACTCCAAAGAAACTAATATTTTAACCAATAAGTGATTGTTCGGCTTTTCAAGTAATTTTATTGTTTAATTAAATTAAAATTAAATTTTATTATTTAAGTAATTTTATTATTTTGTTAGTCCAAATAAGAAAATAATTTTATTTAATTTTTTCATTTTACTAAGAAAAGTTCGATAATTCTATTGAAATAATCTGAAGAAACTTTTAATTTTTGCGTTACTAACGGTTTGCTTTTTTATTTTATCGTATGCGCCCTTCTTTCCCCGTAATTTCCCAACTAATGCTCC